ATCAGGGCCCCGCCTCTAACACTGTATTCAGGTCTCTTTACATCCATGGAGGGGACCCGCTCCTTAGGTAGATATGAATGGCTCATTCAGAGGTAACAAAAACAGAGTAATTTTTAGTTTCAGGTGATTATACCCAAAGGAAAACATAATGTTTAATATTATATTCCATTTCTGCCAATATATCCCCCTAAATCCCACACTGGACCTTTAAGACACAAAAAATGGTTATGTTAAGTATTCATTATTTATGTAAAAAAGATATTTAATGGTAGATAATTACATGATATTATATTTTTAAATTCTCAAATGTTAATATCGGCATAAAAATGTGGCTGTCGTACTAATTATAATTTTCAATCCCTCATTAATGAGCTACTACTGCATGAACACTGTTAATTTACAGAGTCAAATTAGGGGGACAGGACAGATGCTTTCTTTAGACTGAGATAATGTCTGACAGCTGATGATATTAGCTGTGTGTGTGTGTGTGTGTGTGTGTGTGTGTGTGTGCGTGTGTGTGTGTGCTGGTGTGGGTGTGTCATGTAGGCTGCATTTGGCAGACAGTCATGCCCCATATGGTTATCTGTTCAGTCAACCGTATTTTGAGTTTCCCAGCTTCACGAGGGAATTGGACTCAATCCTCTGAACATTTAGATTCACACGCACACGCACGCACACACACACACACACACACACACACACACTCTGTATACTCGACCGATGGCTGGGATGAACACACAAGTCAGCAGTTTAAATGAGCAAAGCACAATGTAGCAGTTCTGCAGCTCTGCACACTTAGTTTATACGGCGCTGTGAATCAGTCTGCCGTGTCCCTTGAACGGCACTTTTTATAGCTCAAGTGTTGCTGCATCTATGAATCCATAAACAATGATACTGCCACTTTGTGTCTTGATGTGTGTACTGCACATTGTGTATTATTTTAGCAACATTACTAATAATGATGCAATCCTTTGTGGATGAATATGTAGAGCTTTGCACTGACACTGACAGACTTATCGACTCACCAGGGTCAAAACCGATAAAAACTGATCTTCATCCTAGCGTCAGCACTGATTTTTTTGTCCTGCAGAATCCCCAGATTTTTTTTTTGTATTTAATGCAGTAGACAACAGCTGTTATAGAAAATATGTTGTTTTTGGAACCAAGTCAAACCCTTGATGGATTGACTCAAATATTTTTATGATACAGCATTGTTTGCAAAGATAACAAAACAGTATTGCCATGCTTTTTTTCCATATAAAAGACATAGAACATACTTAAAAATGAATAAATAATAAAATACTTGAATAAAAAAGTAAAAAAGGGAACCTTAACTGATGTATATACATATTTTGCAAGACATATTCTGAATATTGATAGATAAGACTTTATGATTACTATTATCACCACCACCATATTAACTATTAGTTGCTGCCCTACAAGACAGTGTACATGGACCTAGAGCAAGCACAAACCAAAAACATGCAGAAAAAGAGGAAAATAAAAACAATATTTTTCTATTTCATTGATTCAAACCCCACCCGTTTGCCAGCCAGGAATTCAGTGACCGTTACAGACATAAACCAGGCTTTAAATACATATGCCAATTCATTCATCAGCCATGATGATATCCTCAGAAATAGCCGTGAGGATACAGGGCATAAAATACATGTAGCCTATACGTGACTTGATGTTCTTAATGTAGCTTGCTTTCTCCAAATTTTTCAGAAAGAGCATCTTAAAAATAAAACGTTAGATATCTGAGACAGCCAGCGCTGACACACACACGTGCACTCCATTTTAACAGTATGGTGAAAACTTGCGCTTCCAGGATTACAGTCATGCATGCTGTAGTGCCATTTTGAACAGATGTGTTAAGGCAAGCATAAGCACACACACACACGGTAGCAACAAGTGCGCACATTCACACATTGTAATTCACCTGACGCAGTGCAATTTACGATGTCAGCGTGCTGGATGTAGGGAGAAAAAGAGGGTCTAAGTCTAAGTAGTCTGACATGTAACAGTAATTCTCCTGCCTCCCTCATGTCTCATTTGTCATGTTACAAACAATCCTTGTTGTCCTCCTTCTCTCCGACCTGCCATGCTTTTCCAGAGCAGACACCGCACACAGAGCAGATCTCTAAATACCTCTTGCATCTCCTGCTCGCCCTCTCCTTATTCTCTCATTGAGTGTGCATGGGACATAAGTTATGGTTTAGGCAATGCTGGGTGCTCAAAACCTCCCTGCTGCTGCTCATCTGCCCTCCCTCCCTCCCTCCCTTTCCTTCTCTGTTCCATTCCCTTCCTCCCTTTGCTGCGGTCATCCTGGTGACAAGCTGCACCTCTGCTGCTGCCAACGCCTCGCTCTCTTCACTCAGGTTGAAACAAAACAAGTGAAACTAACGCTGCTTTGTTGCTGTTTATACACCGTTTCACATGAGGCATCCTTCAAGGCCACAGCAGTCGCGTCTTGCACTGATCTTTATTTAGGCACATAAACAACTCTGTGTTCGGGAACAGTGTTCGTATTCAGTTTGTTTATTTTTGCCTGAAAGGGATGACTTAATACTGACAGTGTTCTGATTTGGCTCCTTCCTCATAACAAGATTTCAGTCTTAACAAAGCCTGTTATCAGTATGTTATCAGAAATGTATTTTCTTAGTCTTAAGCCTGGACTAGCATTGACTGGTTAGGTTGTCCCTGTCCTGTTGGTCATCAATCAGTAGTGTCCACTCACTGTCTAAGTGAAAAGGCCTGCTTCAAGCAACAATCGAGCAACATCTCGTCTCCACAGCTTCCCACTTGGTGCAGTGGTCCTGTCAGCGTATTAAGCCCATAAACAGTTGTTACAAAGCACAAAGCAAGTAAATAAGCAGCCCATCAATTTCCCAGACAGTCAAGACAGGCTGTCGTCAGTTTTTGGAAGATCCCTTTGCTACTTCCTGACCCAGTTCTCCCTTATCTGCATGAAGTTAAAAATGTCTGTATTTATACCCTTCCCCTTTCCTCATGTTGCATACCAATTTCATGTTGCCTGCTATCCCACATTGCCTTGGTGACTCACATCCCATTGAAATTGAACAGGAACAGAAATCTTGTTGACCTGTGTTGCACTGGGTGGGTTTCGCTGGTGTGTTATGGCAACTTAGTTGATCTTTGACCCCAAATACTCAGCATTTTCAAGAATCCCCAGAGTTGTTTGACACGACTCTTTGGCCCTACCAGGACTTCAGAGAAGATGGGGGTACCAGGAGCCCATTTCAGCCAACATGCAAGCTGCAATTTGCAACACGAGATAATTTTCTCACCTGTTAATTTTGACACATTTGACTAATCTAATCAAATGCCATATGCAGGCGAACATATTTTTGCTGAGGGGTGCTGCATATTATGTATGACTGTGTGTGCGCACACACTTACACAGGAGCTACAGGAAAACTGCTCGGATGTATACTTACATTGGTGGTTACATCAACCATTGAATGCTGAACCAAAGAATGTGCGCTCCCTCGCCTCAGACACAATTTCTCTCCGGTATGCATGTGCCAAAATTTCTGATATTTCATTCTGAATGGTGTCCGACATCCAGTTGGCTCTATGCTGAAGCCACTCAGGTGCCCTGGGCAACTCATATGTCCGCTCATCGTCTGGTCCATCATTAACTACCGTAACACTCCATCCTGATTCTTATGCCCGCTGTAGAAGAAGTCCCTTGAGTCCAAGGAATTTTATGGATCAAAAAAGCTGATGTGATCAATCAATCAATCAATCAATCAAACTTTATTTATATAGCGCCTTTCATACATCAAATGCAACCCCAAAGCGCTTGATGAAATTGTCAAGTCAGATTGGAGGAATTACAGTAATTAAAACTGCTCATTTTAAACTTTTTCATTTGTTGTTCTGAAATTCACCTTATTATATGCTGTTCAAATTTTAAACAAATGTTCAAATAGCCTATTAGTTATGGTTGCTATTTACCCTCAGCAGCCATCTTCCTGCAGATGTAAAATGCTTTAATGGACCCATAGAATGAACGCACTCGAGACTTTGTTGGTTGAGTGGCTAACTTCTCCTGGCTGCTTCCAGATTAGCCCTTTGAAGACTTAAAAATGATTTAATTATGTGGCCCTTCTAGAATTTAGAAATGTTATCGGACCGAATGGATCAAAGTCTGATCGCGAAACAAGTCATTTTGGGGTTATGATTTTTTTTAAAAAAGTTTCCACTGTGGGGAAGAAGTCTGTTGGTGCCCAGTGGCATCTTGTGATGAACTCCTGGGGAAGTTGTAGTTACACTGTTTGTCCACTATGTCAAATTGGCTTCAAAGTTCGGCACACTACCCGGGGGTCTTGATGCACATGGCTTGAGACTCCAGATTTACCTGCAGTTTTTTTTTTTAAACCTTTTTGTTTTCTTTGCAGTCAGCACGTAAGCACTGGTTGCACTGCCTGCAAATTACTTTTGTGACAAAAAAAGCCTGTTGTTGGAAAATATATGTTATCATTTACATTCTTTTTGTTCTCTACAGCATCATATAGTGACACTAGAGCAGCACCTTGGCTAACTGGAGAGGCGTTTGGGCTGGCCAGAACAACAGGGGGGGCACCTGTGCTGCCCTGCCCTGCACCCCCCACCCATGTGCTCACCACTGGTACATGTATCCTTTGAAAGCACCTGTAGTTTCAACCCTGAGTATTGAAGTATTTGACCAAATATACAGTTGAGTTTGTTGATGTCTCTACCTCACATTTCACTACTGACTGTACCCAACAGTAGGCCTAAATATGGCTTATTGTAGGCTTAATATATACCTTGCACCAGCCTACTACTACTGACATGTTGATATATATTCTGTCCTTATTTTTATTTGCCATAATAGGTAGTTATGTCTCCAGTCATTGCACTGCAGTATTTATGTGTGAGCCCTTCAGCTGCCCTCAAGAAGCCCATATAGGCGGACTGACAAGTCATCTGCATGCCATGATTAAGGCAGCAGCAGCAGCAGTCCGTAGTTGTGTGAGGCAGCTCGAAGCAGAGGGGCGGGGAGGGGGCGCAGCCGGAGCTCACATTCATTAACGACCACCGACAACCGGGAAGCCTCCTCCGGTAGCATCACAGCGCTCACCGACACACGACCGGGGAAGATGGTCGCGGTGCAGATGTCCCCCAACTCGTCTCCGTCTGCGGAGTGGATCTGCTGTCTGGATAAAAGGTGGGCGAATTTCACTCCACGAGACACTTCCACGCCACGCATCCACAAACTGTGTTTTCTCAGCCTCTCTTTCATTCATCCGCGTCAACGTGATCAGTCGCAACCGGCGATCGCTGCGTGTGCAGTGTGTGCAATAATATGATACGCCTTGTTTTTAGCACACTGTAGGTTACCGTCATTTACAGTGAATATACAGCGCTAATCCAGTGATGGTAAAGGCTGCGGTGCATGACAATAAACACCCTATTTATTAAAAAGAAAAAGATCCTGTTTGTGTATCTGTACGGTCAAAAAGGCGTTGGTGGCTTCGAGGTTCACTGGGATGTCTCTGCACTGCATGGGCTGTGATAGATGGCTGATGGTTTATGTCTGTGTGCTTAAATCAAATAGCCATACATTTTTAAAATACTACCAAGGCATGTGTGCTGGTGATTTCCTCCAAACAGGGATTAGAGTCAGGGCAGTGCATTGTTATTGTAAATTCTTCCATTTTTGCCACAGTGCTGCATGTGAGGCTGAATTTGTCTTATTTGAATGAACAGGTTTAAATAACTGAACAGCCACTTTACAGATTATTTAATAACAATCCAGAAGCTGTTTTAATCCATACTGTATTCGTCCAGCTAACATTAAAGGTCCCATGCTGCATGCATACTGTGCCAAAAACGCTTAGCATCCAAGGGAGAGGGCTTGAATAAATAAAGACGACGAAAGGGCATCTATACAGTAATTACTGTAGATAATGCTCCTCACACCTAAAACAAACAATGATACATATAACAAGCACCCCACAGCTCACACCCACACATGCTGTAGCCACACACCTCACTATGACACATCCTCATGTTACTATTGGCAACCCGAAGCTACCATCTTGTCTTCTCATCCTCACCTGTAATTATACTGGATGGATGATCTAAATAGATGCGCTGCTATATTTTGTCTTTGATTTAGGTAATTAAGAGTAGGGCTGCAACTTCTCATTAGTATCATATTTTAATATTAATTTACTGATTATTTTCTTGATAGATTAATTGTTTGGTTTTTAAAACAGTGAAAAATGCCTATCATAGCCTGGCATCACATGGATTTTTTTGTCCGACCAACAATCCAGAACCCAAAGATCTTCAATTTTCTATCATAAAACCACCAAATATTCCCATTTGAGAAACTGGAATCACCAAATCTCAGGCATTTTGCTTTAAAAATGAATGAAAATCAAATTAATTGCTCATTTTTCTGTTGATTGACTCATTGATTAGTTGTCTCATTGTTTCCTGGTTGATTGGGTGTAATTTCTCGTTGAACGTGGAGAATTGGGTAACACATGACATAAAATCATTACTGTACTAAAGTGTTTTTACAATTGTTGTCCAATCTGTTTAGAATTAAAATAACAGCACACCACAGGACTGTATGTCTTAGACTAAATGCAGGAGATATGCAGCAGTAGGTGGGTGGGTGTCAGTAAGGGCAGCCAGGGTCGTAAGATTAGACCCGACAGGATCTTATTGTGGAGCACTCAGTGCTCCTCAGCTATGCACCCCCTCATTCAATCAATATCCATCAGTGTGTGTGTTTGGGAGCTTTCATCTACAGTAACTGTTGATGTGAGCAAGTGAGGAGTGCGAGGCGGGGAAAGGGGGGAAGCGAAAAGAAAGACAGAGGTTAAGATACGACTGTCCTTAATATATCTGGCCAAAGACATTTATTGCCAGTGAGTGTGAAGCATGTGAGATAAGATCAGATTTGTTTTGCCCCAGGCAGGTAATAGACGGACCAGTCAACACACACACGCACACACACACACACACACACACACATAGCACCGGTCCAGATGCCAGCTGAGGTTTAATATCCCTCTGCTGCAGGAGAATAGAAGCACAAAACATCGTGACCATTTCACACACTTTCAGATGACATTAGAAACAATAAGTCGAAGACAAAAGCAGTTTCCTTAAGAAAAAAGTCTTCTAAGTTTAATCCATTATCTCATACGTACATTATGTAGGTTAATTTGCAGACTGACGAGACTAGATGAGTAATTTGCTGAGTCACTTTTAAATTATAAATTCTTAACTGAGCTGTGCTTATGCTCATTTAATATTCAGCGTTTTTAACAGGATCTCAGATTGTAAGCAGTGATGCAGATGGGTGACCCAAGAGGTACATATGTACATACAATGAGAGGGTATCTCTGACACAGTAACATGATAATCTGCCAGCTTGGGAAATCTTGTTTGTGTTGAGGCTGTTTGACATTTTGCTTGGCTGCCACAAATCAACCTATGATGTATTTGTCTGGAAACAGTGTATTTTTACAGATGGATATTTCCTAAAACAATCTGCAGAACCTTCTGGTGTCTCTCGATTTTCTCTTCAGAATGTTGGTCAATTTGTAAATCCTGCATGCGTGCGCGGGTGTGTGTGTGTGTCTATAATTTGTGGTTGAAAGCTGAGATCTCTGCTGACATGAATAGCAGCGGGGAGGAAGCTGAGGAAGGGAGAAGTCAAGGAGGAGAGACAAAAGGGATGGAGGGAGAGTAAGACAAGGTGAACAGCTCTCAGGTCGCATCCGTCTCACACCAATGAGGGAGGCAGATTCCTTTGGACAGGCAGGGAGCGAGCAAGCACGGGACAACGACAGAGAGAAAGGACAAGGATTCAACCAGGGGGGTTATAACTGACGGATGTTAACAGTTTCACTGTAGACGGATGGGTGAAGGGTGATGCTGGTATTGCCCATTCAACCCTGCAGAGTTAACCTCCTTGTCTCTCCCAATTGCAGTGTGTGGGAGTCCACCTGTCTAAACCATTAACCGAGCCTACACTGGTATATGACGCCGTGTCGGAGCACCGAGGGCCAATACGCAGGCAGTGGGAGGATGATGGGAGGATGAGTCAGAGACAAAAAAAAAGGGATGAAAAGACAGAGCGAGAGACCCATCTGTAATGGCCCTGAGCTCGTGGCAGATGTTGTGGGACTGGAAGATGTGATGTGCAGTGCAGCCCTTTGGGCTAAGTCTGTGTTTATCTGGGAGTATCGTCCTGGCTACGGAAGACAATCTACTGCAGCTCGGGGCTACAAATATATGTGTGTTTATCTCTGTATGTACATGTGCGTGTGGGTACAGGGGGAGTCATCGCTGCCTGTGAGCTTGCAAAGCAGAAATAAAGGGATAATAATGGAAGGATGGTAAGGGCAGGTGTGTTAGTGGTGGGACTTAATGGATAGAAGGAAGTGCCAGTAATGGAGAGGAGAAAATGGGTAGCTTAAAGAAGAAAGAGGTTCATTTCTTCTTTTCCATCCTGTGTTCCTGAGAGAAACAGGTCTGGAGAGAGGAAAGGAGAAAAATGGATGAGATTAGAAAAATGTTTAGTGGAAGCAGACAAAGAAGAGAGCTGGGAGCGAGGAAAGAGGTGGGAGCTGAAGGAGGAGAGGGGATAGACTGCCTCTCGTCTGTGAAGGAAGAAGCCCACAGTGCATTAGCTATTCTGTATGAACACACACGTGCAAGGATGAGTCACTAGCAAAGGAAAATAAGTGAATGAATGGGGCTAAATGCAGTGTGTGTTACTCTGAGACGTCTTGGCTGTGTGGTTTTTCTCCACCACATTGCAGAGCAGAATGTTTAAGCTCTCAGATCCAACTTCTGTGTCTTCTTGTGTCTGCGCGCCCACGTAGACGTCCAATAATGACGTGCTCCTGTGTGTGTGTTCAGATTTAAGCGTATTAGAAATAGCAGCAGTACAAATGAGATCTTACATCAACACCCTGTGGGGGGTCTGAGCTGAGAGAAGTAACGCCTGCGGGTTTACGCTGTTATCGCTAAGACACCAGGCCGAACAATGAGGCGACGTACTCACACACGCGTGCACACACAAATACACAGATAACACTAAAACAATAAAGCTTTTATCTTAAAGAACAATACCAAGTGATTTTTTTCATGTTTTAGTCCATTAACTGCTAATTGCAAACATTTAACATCACTGTTAACTGCTCTTCAAAGCATACAGTAGATTTTTGATTTATTTCTTGCCTCCACGCAGCAGTGCACATGCTTAAGATAGATAATCCATCACAGTGAACAAGTTCCATCATTCAGTTAATCATTTTGTTTAAAATAGTTTTGCAGTTAATGGACCAAAATATGAAAAACCACTGATATGGTTCTTTAACACCTAATGTTGGACCTAATGATGGTTCTTGTCTGCACAGGCCCTCGGAGCGCTCGGGAGAGGATGTGGACATCATTCTGACCAGATTGAGAGAGGTCAAAGCCTTCCATAGGTTCCCACCTCCGCTCTTACTGCAGATCTGTGCCTGTGCCTTCTATGAGTGCCTGGAGAAAGGCATCACATGTATGTACATGTACACACACATACAGAAACCTACAAATATATCAGTACAGTTGGATTATAAAGTTGCACGGCTGTGGTTTTGTGTACGACAGTAGATGCTTCAGGCTCAGAATAGCTCTCCGTAATAAAGCATTATTATGCAGCATATAGGCAACAGTATATCATCATATGACAGTCGTGCTGCAGAAGATCCTTTTTCTTTTTCTTGAAGGAACAGTTCACCCAGAAATCAAAAATACATATTTATATGTATATACTAGAAAAAGACATTGCTGCAGGTTTTTCAGATGTATTGTTTTGATGCATTGAGCACCACAAGCCGAGTATAATATAAGAATATAAAGGAACTCCTTTATATTTGATAGAAGGCAGACATCTCTATGGCCGATAGCTCAAACACTCTGGCAACTCACACCAAATCAATCTAGACTGATAAACAGTTCTACAGGTAAGATGAAAAATATGCATTTTTGATTTTGGGGTGAACCGTCCCCTTTAAGACTGAAGTTTGAGGCATTGGAATGCAAAGCACTGTGATCATGTTAAATCATGTATACACACCTCTCCACACACGAATTATGCAAGACCCGTTTTTTAAACACATTTGCACAATATGGTTGTCGGCACATTTAATCACTGTCCTGGAGAAATCTCTATGCTTGCAACTCATTTTGGCATTAGTCGATTTATCGCCAAATTACTTTTCAAGTCATTGTTGTATCTGTTACATGTCAGAAAATTGAGTAATTTTTTCTGTTTTTCGGAGTTATTTATTTATTTTTCTGTTTTTTGGTGTAATTTTTTCTGTTTTTCTGAGTAAGTTTTCCCTGTTTTTCATGGTAATTTTTTTCTGGTTTTCGGGATTTTTTTTTTTTTTGCGGGATTTTTTTATTCTGTTTTTCGTGGTAATTTTTTTTACCTGAAGGAGACGAGATGCTTCAAAATCTTGCGAGAAGCTTCCACCTGGCACCTGCAAGTGACCCCTGCATCCATGGTGACTCCTGCTCATGGATGTATTTTGCATCCGTGCTCCTGCTCCTGGACAGTTTCAACTACGGGATCAGGTTGATCAGTAACAGGTTGTAACAACGTTACCTGACAACTGAAATCATGCCCATACACGTTTGTCAGCTAACGTTGTTACAACCTGTTGCTAACCTAACCTGTTACATTGAGCGATAGGCCTACATGAGAAGGATGCAGTCGAAAACATAGCTAGATTATCATACCCAGTGTGTAACTAATTATGTGCCTTACCCTTATTGATCCCGTAGTTGAAATTGTCTAGGAGCAGGAGCACGGATGCAAAACACATCCATGAGCAGGAGTTACCATGGATGCAGGGGTCACTTGCAGGTGCCAGGTGGGAGCTTCTCGCGAGATTTTGAAGTATCTCGTCTCCTCGTTCAGAAAAAAAAATTATCACGAAAAACAAAAAAAAAAAATTATCACAAAAAAAAAAACAGAAAAAAATACCTCCAAAAACAGGGAAAAAATTACTTAGAAAAACAGAAAATATTACTCAGAAAAACAGAAAAAATTACACCAAAAAACTGAAAAATAAATAAATTACTCCGAAAAACAGAAAAAATTACTCAGAAAAACAGGGGTTTTTTTATTTGTCAAGTGATTGCAATACGCTTCCGTAGATATTCACACTCATATAAAAGAGAGAAATGCTGCAAATCCTCACATTTGAGAAGCTGGAACCAGGGAATGTCTGTTTTCCCCCGAAAAAAATGACTTGCAAGATTTTTTTTCTCTGCAGTGAAGTTATCGATAAATAAACCAGCTGTCTTAGCACTAAACCTTTGCAACTACTGTTTGTCGGCATTTCCCTCCTTTTAATTGAGCATAAATAATGAAAGAACATCTCTCTCCTTTTCGGGAAACAGTGATTATTTTCTGATAAATAATTATCCATATAAAGCACAATTGAAGTTGTTAACAGACTGGATTATTCAGCTTACTGATTTTTCAGACCTTTTTGGATTTGTATCACAGTAACATGAGGAAGTTTTATAAAAGAGTTTTTCTCCATTTTTGAGAAGAAGGTTTGTGTGTTTAGAAATATAACCAAAAATACAACCAAATACGAAACCCCACCAAATATTTTAAATGTGTTGTCTCACGGAGTAGGGGTGTTGCGATATGCTGGTATTGATGATGACTGTGATATCTAAAAATAAAATATTGATATAATCTTAATACTGTAATACACATATGATAATATTGTATAAATAATCTTGCAGCTCTTAAATCATTTCTGTGTCTTTCTATTCTAGCTTTATCTCCCATTCCACGTCCTAACGTTCATATTTTAAGTGTAATTCATTTAGCAAAAAAGATACAAAACACATAATAAATAGTTAAAGATTAATTTGACTGATAGCATTATTACTTTTATTTTCAAAATTTCCACAGATGTCGCACTAATGTCGTTATCATGAATTCTTTTTGCCATGCTGATTGTGAAGTGAAAATCTGATATTGTGCCAACCCTGTCACCTGGAGCAAACCACCGTAAAAGTTTTAGTGTTGGCTATATTAATACATCAGAATCGCAAACCCACATAGATTTGCATTCTGCTTTTGAGGTGGTCTGCCTGGTGAGGAGTGTATGTTTTTGTACATTAGATTTCTTTATTTTATGTTTTTACTGGAGTATCAATTTGGGTGTTGAGAATTGTGGAATTTTACTGGTATTGGTGTCAACTACTAAATTTCTGGTATTGTGCCATGTCTAGAGTAAACTGTTTTTTTTTTTTTTGTTTGTTTCTTTTCTCATATCAGTGCTCTATAAGGTTTAATGTATTTTATTGCCTGCAGTGTTTCGACAGGGAGACATAGGCACCAGCTGGTATGCTGTGTTGTCCGGCTCTCTTGACGTCAAAGTGTCAGAAACAGCCAACCACCAGGTAAGATCAGATTCAAGAGAGTCAGAGTGGTGCTTTATACATAAAATCCTGCTTGGCTTCACCTATGCTGCTGTGCGTCTGTTCTGTGTTTCCTGTAAATCATTTAAATTAGAAATGACTGAACTGAGTCTTGAGTCATGGACATTACGGGGGTGAATTTAGTAATTTTCTTTCTAATTTTTTTAAAGATACAACATTTCTCATGGCTGCCATTTTACTCTTGTTTTTTTTTAATCCTAACCTTCTCTGTCAAGATCCACTTTGCTCTACAAGTGCTCCTCGTTAAAGAGCTGGTGCTGTACGACTCTTCAATGCTGACATTGTTCCAGTACATTAGCTCATGTCTCCCTGCTTAAATATGCCAGAGCAAAGCTGCCACAGCACAGAAAACAAGTCCACTGAGAATTGTGCCTTCAGCTGCATGTTATACCCTTCATGCCAGAGTGTGGAAATAGGGTTATAGTGTACATATAGAGGAGGAGAGTGACGTTTTGTTGGAGAGAGGGAGAGAGGATTTGTTCCCTGTTAAAGATGGAGATAAGAAGCCCTTCTATTGTGAAAAGTCCTTTTCATGTATGTAGCCCTAAAGTGCCATTGGTGGCCTAGTTTCTGTGGCTATATTTGAAATGTCACTTTGGACAGCTGAAAAGGTTTCATAGCATGCTGAATATTTGTCTAAATCAGTGTGGGAGTGTGTGTGTGTGTGTGTGTGTGTGTGTGTGTGTGTGTGTGTGTGT